CACGGTGACGGGCGCGCTGATCTACGCATTTGTCGGCGCCGACGTCAAGAGCCCAGCGCTGTTATCAGCGGGATCCACCGTCTCACGCATCGCGTTCGGCGTCGCGCTGCCGGTCATCTTCATCTCGGGCAGCATCAACAGCACCGTCGTCGGCCGGTACATCATGGACCGCGCCTTCCCCACGTCGCCGATCCGGTACATCAACGGGCGACAGGGCTGGGCCGTGTGGATTTCGCTGATTGCAGCCATCACCGTCGTCGGGTGGATCATCGCCGAAGCCATCCCCTTCTTCAACGCGCTGCTCGGCCTCATCTCGTCGCTGTTCATCAGTGGCTTCACCTTCTACTTCCCCGCGCTGTTCTGGTTCCAGCTCGTCAAGGTCGGCAAGTGGAATGAGGGCTGGAAGAACATCTCGCTGTCGGTGCTGAACGCGATAGTCTTTGTGATTGGCATTGTCGTGCTGGCGTGTGGCAGCTATGCCAGTGTGCAGGATATTATTAGCGAGTATACCAAGGGCGAGGTGCGGGCGGCGTTTACGTGTGATGCGATGTCGTATGCTTGAGCTGTGCGATCGGTGTGTTGGGAGGATGGTTGGGTGGAGGACTGCTTGGTCGGTATACCTAGGGTCGGCGTTTTTGATGTCGGCGTTGATGACGAGGCTGCTTGGATACATGCAGTGGTTCGATTCCGTAGATGTAATTCAGCACCGTTTTGAATTCGGCCTTGAGTGTGTTGCGTGTGCTTTGAGTCTATTCTGATCCAGAGGTAAATAAACAAAGAGAGAAAAGCAAGAGCGAGAAGAGAAAGGAAAGAGAAGATAAGGAAAGAGCACCAAAGTAAGCAATCAAGCCAAGAGTGGTTAGTTGTAGATTATGGATTAGGAAGTATCCATGTCAGATGGTATCTACCACGTACCACGACGATCCATCACACACGAGACTTGTTCAAACAGGATCGGAACCTCACCGGCCCCACTCCCGATACAAAAAACCCCCCATCATCACACATCCAAACCAACCCACCCCAGCGCCAAAGAACCCAGAAGCACAAACAGCGGCAAGCGAGCAAACACCAGGTTCTCGCTATGTGACATAGGCGTCATGGCCGCGGGCTCAATGGTCGGCAGGACGAGAGTAGGTTGCACAAGCGCATATAGATAAATAGACGCAGCTCCGTAGGGGCTGAGCTGAACTGAGCTGAACTGAAGCTGAACTGGGTGCGTAGTCTTTCTTCACACGGGCAGATTTTGTTAGCGAATGGCGAGACAGCCATGTAACGGAAGCGGAGCGGAGCGGGCAAAAATGCCCACTTGCCTACCTTTAGCGTTTGGACGAGGCATTGCGGCGATGGGAGGGGTTGCTTTGTCCGCGGTGGGACTGCGCATGCTGATCTCGTCAACAGCAACAGCAACGGGTAGCGTGTAGCCCAGCCGATAGGTCGTTCGCGCACGCTTGCGGGCTCCTTTGGCAGCGCGTTTGAGGGACCGGACGTTGATCTTGTTGTTGTTGTTGTCGTCATCTGCAGCCCAGTCATTGGAATCGACGAGCGTGATGTCACGAACTGCGTCTTGCTGATGGGGTCTAAACACCGTAGTGGTTTGAGTAGGAGATGCGAGGTAGTTGATCTGGGCGACGCTCAGGGTACCAGCTGCTCCCCGAAGTGCTAGTATCACGCGTTCGACGTTGCGGGACATGGTTGCGGGCGATTCGATGTAGGCGCTTATTGAGCTTGCGATGGAGGAGGCTATATCATTAGCCAAGCTTGGTTCCAGCGGAAAAAATAGGTGCCAGTGGGGAGGGCGAACCGTTAGTCAGGGCGGTCGCGCGAGTGGAGTTGTGTTGAGTGGACTTGTTTCTTGAGCAGAGAACTGAACTGTTGGTCGGGCACCGCGAGACAGAAGAGGCGTGTTCTTGTCTCAAGGCTGCAGGACGTTCGCGAGGATGCGATGCTGGAAAAGAGACAAACAAATGAGCGATCATACCCAAATAGAAAAAACCGACGCAGGGTTGCTGCTGCCACGCACACGTCCAGTTATAACCAGCAACGATCGTCCCCGGCATCGCTGTACGACAATGTACCGGAAACAGAAGGCGAGACTGTGGTGGAAAACAGGAGCAAAGAAAGGGGAAGTGGCATCATTTAGAAAGAATCGAGCAGACATGAAGGTGGATGTGAAAAAGGGTTTCGTATTGTCTTCTCTAGCGGCCACGTTCAAATGAGCGCAGCTTTTCGATCCCACTCATGACACAATGCGCCGGCTGGAAAAATAATAGCATATACGATGTATACATTCGGAGTCACCGCGCCCAAACACATTGTTCGCAACGGCGATGCCGAATTTGGGCGTTGCTCAGATCGCAATGCGCATGCGTGGTCGAAGGGGAAAGGTACGAGACTCCTAATAGAAAGCGTCAAGTAGCGGAAAGAATCAGCAGGTCCGAGGATGCCCTCGTCCTTGCCACCTGTTAGCCATCCTCGTCTGTATCACTTTCAGGGGGAGATGAAAGCTCAGAGCCGATTGATGTATCCAGGGGCAAGGTCTTACTCTTTGTTTCTCGCCGCTGTGGCGTCTTCCCTGCGGCGAGCTCTAATACTTCTAGTAAACCAAATAGTCTACTCGAACTGAGCCTCATAACCTCCCTCGACAGCTTCTCTTCTTCATTGTTGCCCTTCTTACCTTTGCCGCTTCCATATACCGTTTGCCGCGCTTGAACTCCGGCTTCTACGGCCTGCCTCAAATCGTCGGTGGCCTGGAATGCGTCTTGATCCATCATATACATGAACATGTGCTCGAGTAGGAGAGATACTTTGGCATTAGTCGCAAAGCTTTGTGCTGTAGCGCGGAGGGGTAACCAGAGACTTTCGAAATGGTCTTGAGCGGGTGTCGTGGTGGTGTAGTTGAGTAGTTGTTCTGAAACAAGCGGGAGAAGTAAGTTGGCATTGAGTGCGAGCGAAGAGAGCCCGGGCATCTTGAAGGTAGAGAGTATAGCGCTGAATATTAGCGTGGGCAGTCGGACCAAGTCCTCGGTAAAGCCATCGAGTAAATCCTCGAACGTAGTGAAGTGTGATGGAAGATGGCAGGCCACCTGTTCAAGTAAAGCAATAATCCGTTGGCGGAGCTGGATTGCATCCATACCACCTAGTCGCTGGATAGCCTCTTCCACTGTAAGGGCCACTAGCGTCGAGGTTTGCTCTGGAGGGCAGGCAGAAGAAAGCTTCGACCGTGACTTTCGGGTCGCCTTTATCTGCACGTCATGCATGATTGTATCCTCTTGGTCTTTTTCATAGTCGCCAAAGTAGTTGTTCTCTATGTCAATCGTGGCTAGTGGTTGTTTATCGTCATCTTTCCGCGGTTTCAACTCGTGTGTCTCTTTCGGCCAGATCTCGGGAAAGTCGGTGCTGGAATGCGAGTCGGCCATTGCGAGCACGGCTTTGACTATCCTCCGTCGATTGTTGCGGTTACTAGGGTCTGTACTGCTAACATATTGCCACAGAAGGCTTCCCATCAATATCTCTTCCTTATCGGCACCTTCTACCCGGCTACATCTTACCCGCTCTTGCCAATCGGCTTCAGCAAAATCCAGCATCACTTCAAGCCAGAGCGACCATCTATCCCAGCGTTTCCTGTGCACGACTGCGCAGTTAAACGCCCACCCGACGACCTGCCAGAAATCGTCGGCCCGGTACCAGAGGCTCTGTGTGTTTGCAGCCGCTCCACTTAAGCGCTCGATGTCGTTGTTCGCACCCGGAGATTGGGAGCCCTCACAATTCCTGTTTGGACGCCGTCTAGTGCGCTCGTCGGCGAACTTGAAAGCTGCCCTAAGGATCTGGTGATCCGGCTTTATGGTCGCCTGGACACCTCGGAGGTACTTGAGGGCCGCATCCGCCCCTTTGATTTCATCGGCTGATTCCGCTCTGGTTGTAATCGAAGGGTACACGATGAGCGTTGAAGCGAGGGCGAGCTGCGTAGCCGGCGCAAGGTAGGCAATGTAGGGTTTCGCGGGGACTGAAATCGACGTCGCGGCGGTGAGGAGGGTGTGGAGGAACGAGTAGCCACTGGCGTCTGCGACTGTTAGCGGAGAGCTTCGATGGCCACGCATACTCTAACATTGGTTCGCCTCGAGGTAGGCCTTGCAATGGTTTGCGAGTTCCCATGACAAGGGCTCCGTCGGGCGGGGAATCGGCTGTCGGGGCCGCTTGCCTACGGCTTCCAGGGCGTCGAAGTGGCAGTGGTATTCTTTGTGAGGCGTCCGCTGTGGTGTTCGGCGCGCCGATTCCGGCGTCATGTAGGCAGCCATTGGGCGTTGGGCGGCGTAGCGGTAAGATTGCGAGACGGCTGGGCTGGTGTTGCAGCGGGTCAGAAGTCGCGTTCGACACATTCGGCCCCGCGCGCGGTCACGATTTGAGGCTAGCCGGATTCGGCTAGTGCTGTTGAATACGAGTGCGATGGCAATCGTGAACGCATTACTCCGTAGGTGTGCTACACTTTCGCGCTGTTAGGAGCTTACTCGGAGATATTGCACTATCGGTCTATCAATGTCCAGTCGGGACCATCAACTGTTCAGGGGACGTCCAGGCCGGAGGGACAGCTTAATTCGGACCTCCCGAGGTCTCTCCCACTTTCTGTGATCAAGGGATTACTAAGTAATTTCATGTGGTAGATATAGCAGGTCTTTGTGAACGCAGAGTCGTCATTCGAGAGTGTATGCAGACTCCTATACCGGCAAGAGCTCACCAGTATCGCGAGCACACGGGTAGTGTTGACGGAGCGGGTACTCGATAGAAACAATGAGACCTACTGCCGTGGCTGCAGCTCTCCTGGACCGTGTGCCTAAGCCCGAAAAAGCCGAGTGAGGCCAAGTTTTAGTGCGGCACACTAGCGGCCCCGCCCACACACCAGGAAAAATCCCTCACCCCGCGAAACGTCACATCAGGTTCTTCATTTCTGCTACTTACCTACTATATATTATTACAATATTGCCAAATATTCATCAAGAAAGTCCGGTATGGTGTATCGGCTAGCATCCGTCGCTTTCATCAACCTTCTGGTAATGTCAGCTTCCGACGAGAGCCGGGTTCGACTCCCGGTACCGGAATTGTTATTTTTTGCATTTTTATTTGAGGTGATGGACAAGCGCGAGCTAGCTAGCATTCGCTTCAGTGGCTGATCGATGATTCATCAAACTAGCGTAGTTAACTAGTGGTAGCCCATGTTTTTGTTTTGCTACCTGACATGCGCTTTATTCACCCACGTCCTGTTTCTAGTGCCAACGCTTGCTATACAGAGAGAATGTTACTCACTAAGCGAGTTCTGCTGATTGATGTAGCAAGCAGCTCAGTCAAACGAGCGCCGTCAAACAGGTGCAGCGGGAGTTCGCGAAAGGGCGCTTTAACAGGCTAGCAGCTACTCTTTCATCCTCTTCAAGTGTCGATGTTAATGCGCTTCAAGAATATCAATCTTAATACGCAGGCCCAGGTTGTGCATTATAGGTTGTTCGCATCCATGCATCTCTACGGCTCAAGCTTGACAGGCCGAACCTCTGGCTCTCGTTTGTGGTACGACGATTTTCTCGCAGAGGACATAGCCACATGCCCAGATGTCCTATTCAGGGGTTGTCCAACTCAGAGTTGACGTAGTAGATGGAGCAAACGCGGTGAGACTTACTAGACCCTTTGCCAGAAATGTTATTTCCCTAGACAACGTCTCTTGGGATCTGGTGAATGAAGTCAGGGAAATGCAGCGTACTTGCAGCAGAAGAAGCATCCGCAGAGTGTGCCTATCTAAGTACTAATCCGTCGTGGATCTTCTTAGAGTGATGCTGCATTGCATGTTTGTACTTCGCGGATCTTTTATACCATCAAACGTCTCTAACACTCAGCTTGTTATATATCAACCTAGGTTTACTATTTAGACATACAACACAAACTTGCATTCTCTCCAGAACTAATAGTCCTTCCTTCCACATGGTTGCTTCTCTAACCTTTATATGTACTGATATTCCTCTTTCACTGGTGTTTCACGGTATAAAATTATCTCGCACTTCTCCCAGTTTTCATTCTTCTCGAGTTATCACATCTCCCAGCTCACTCAACTCCGTTCCCACTCCTGGTCGTTTCACTGATGGTTATCACATCTCCCAACCTTCTTTCTCCCTCCCTGCCGTTGCACTGATGGTTTCCACAACCACGGTTGGGTTGGACCGAGCGATTTCACTCACTGATCTCCTTGACAACGGTTGTTGTGCCCATCCACACTCAGGTCTTGCCATTCGACCCCGAAGCCCACCGCTCTACGTCATGGGCAGATAAGAGCACCCGCACTCGATAGAAAGCCCGCCAGCGCACTGCTTGACCATCGCACCCTCTTTGCACACACCACCGCCGACTTTTGTCAAACCCTCAACCGACAACTTCTACAATTCTGCAACTTTTCTGCAACCCCCTCGACCTGACATCTTCTGCTAGTATCGTGAACACCTTCAACATGCTCCAAAGCACGGCTCGCGCGGGTCCCGCAGGGTGGCGCTTGCAGATATCATTCGGTCCTAGGAACGAGATCGAGCGCGATGGCGTGTTGCATGTCATCGTGAGCACGATCAAGCCTGATGGCAGCCGAACGGACATTGCTGGTGTTCTTCTGGGCCTCCAGCGACGGCATCTCTACTTTGTGTCGGCCGAATTCGCGCATGGCATTGATGTAGAGTCCCCATGGAAGACCCAGATTGAGCGAGCATTGGCGGAAGGCAAGACCATGATGGATCTTGACGATACTTGTTCCATCGGTATGTACCCGTTATGAGTGCGTATGAAATCAAGATTAACAATTACGCAGACAATATTCGGAATACGACAAGCCAGCTCCGATCCTCTTGGGCTCCCGTCGTCACTACCGAATCGAACCATATCTCGACACGACGCAATCTGGATCCGATTGTTCAGGCGGAATTGGCGCGCATCGATCGGAATGGCGTCGGCCACGCTGAACATGCAGCTATACTACGAGACCGGCAGAACAACCATGTGGTGGAGCAATGCGCGCGAATCAAGAAGGTCGAGCATGACAACAATGGTGGTCTCTCTCCAGGTATGCAAAACTCCCGAAGACCCTACAACCTGCCAAACTCCCTCAAACGTGTTAATTCCTGGACTAACACAATACTAAAAGATAGGGAACCACTATCCGTTCACCTTCGTAGACGTCGTCGCCTCTTCCGACTCGAGAATCTGCCGCCGCCTCTTATGGGTGCCACTGGAGAATACGACAGCATCGAGCACCCCGACAAACTCCGGTTCCTCCAATACCGCGCCGTTGAGGACCCCGACTTTGCGATTGCCCCCGTCCAAGCTCCAGAGATCGAAGGTCGCCAACCACAAGAGAAAGGGAACAAAGTCCTAGATCTGGAGCGCATGTGGGATGCCAATCTACCCAACGTCGAGTTCCCAGAATGCAAAGATTACTTCGTCTACATGGAGCTTGTGGACAAGTACAAAACACACTTCCGCCGCACTGGAAAACTTCCGCCGCAAAACGGCAGGTTCGTCAAGGCCAACGCACCAAAGTCCGCCCAGAAGAAGATGGACGCGGAGGTACAGCGCGCCGAGAAGAACCAGCTGAAGCTGGATGCGTACAACAAGCAGCTGAAGAACGGCGAAGATGTCGACTTCCCGGACCTCGTCAGCACCGTGTGTTCAGACGACCGCATGATTGATGATCGGTCTGCTGATTGGTGGGCGTCCAAATACGTCATGAAAAAGAACATGGGCCGCAAGAAGCGGGCACGCATCGACGGATGGCAGTCAGTCGTTGCCCAGGAACACGAGGAGTGGTGTGAAGCGGAAATGCCTACCAGCGAAAAACTGGAGGAGGACTTTACGCTGAAATCAGACGGAGAGACGTTTGATTTGCCCCTCGTCTACATTCCTTGCCAGATTGAAGGCCTGAATAAAAACTTCGAGTATGAGCAGGGTATTGCGCTATCCGACATGACCAGCGAAGAGAGCATGGCTAACGAAGACGTCATTGATGAGGATACACTCGAAGAGGAAGCGAGTGGAATCATCATTGACAACCAAAAGAAACTGGAAGAAACGGATGATTCAAAGGCCAAAGTCGCTACCGATCTTTCTGGCGCTACTTTTGCCAGTCAAACGAAGCCAGGCAAAGCCAATGGCGCAAAGACAGAAACCTCGACTGACCTTGGTGGTATCGCTGTTGTCCGCAGAGAAGAATTGGGCAAGGAGGTCGATGCGAAGCCAGTAACTTCTGCTGACTTCACTGGTATCAAGTTTGTTAGCGAGATCAAACTAGGTGAAAAGGATGATGCGAAGGCGGAAGTTCTTACTGACCTGACTGGTATCACTTCTGCCAGCAAGAAGGTACCAGCGGAAGAAGGGGTTGCGACAGGGGATCCTCCTTTGCATCAGGATGTAGTGTTTTCCTCTGAGGAAAACAAACTCCCGGATCAGCCTGCAACGCCTGGCAAGGAAGAGACGCCGTCAGATTGGCATGAACGCGAGGCCGGCTATTATACAGACATGAGCGGTCTCGACGATGTCGATCTGTCAGACGAAGAGGACTCCGAAGACGAAATCGAAAACGTCCCGACAGACCCATCCTCCTTCAATGACTCCACTGCGCCAATCAAGGCCAAGGACAAGAAGGTGGAATTCACCTACCGGGCCTATCGCGCAAACCTGACCCGGGCATCCAACTACGAGAAACGTCGGCGCATGAACGAACGTGCGGCTATCGGTCAGCCGCACATCTCCCAGCGTCCCGATCTGCCTGGCTATCGGCGTGGGACGCGGTCGAAACCTGAACCCGATTGGGACGCGCCTGGCATCAAGCGCCGAGATCTTGACAATCGCCAGGAGAAAATCGGCAAGCTTTCGTGCTTCGACCGGATGATGAATGTGCGCGAAGCTGAGCATGGAGTCGCTTACCCCAATGGCATAAACAGCGGTTTAAATCCGCTTCACATGCCTCCGCCTTCTTTCCGGCTTGGCGATAGCGAGAAGGTTCCTGCCACACGGCTTCCTCTTCATCAACGGGCATGGATGACCCCTCGCGGTGATGTCCTTCATCCCAAGAAATCCAAGGATCCAAAAGCCGGCTTTTCACGTCTGATTCCAAGCGCTGAAGATGACCTGTTCGCCCCTGCATTTCTTGGCCCTACCGCCATGTTCAGCGCGCAGGAGGGATATTCGGCTCGCTGTTATTACGATTCTGCATATTCTCGAGTGTAAGTCAGTTCTCAGCTTCTGGGCAAAAACACAGCTAACAGTTTCCTTCTAGTCCCGCGCGTAGAGAGTGGATGTGAAGTAGGACCTTTTGTCGACTAGCTGCATGTTACTGGGCGTATCGGAGTAGATGCCATTTCGGAAAGGTTTTGGGGGTGCGAATACCGTATATCATATAGCGGCATGATGTTTTATGGTTTATGGTTTCAAGAGAGCAGGAGGGTACTTTGAGGTTTAGGCGTATATCGATTAGCTGGTATACCATGGTCTGTCAGGGCGTAGGATACCCTTATTATACACTACAGGGCGGGTTAAGCAATCGACACATGATCATTTGGGGCAAACCTACTTATTGTGTATTTATGAAGCGTGCTGTACCTCTCCGTGATCCTCATCGGTCTGCCTAGATATATGTATCAGCATGGGTCAACTCATGATGAGAAATCCCCTGAGGTGTTTTACGGGACACATATAGGATAGGTATAAGAAGACCAGCGTGCTTACAATTGAGATTCGATTGACGCCTATCCGGGCTTGCGTCTGATATCTTGACTCGATCCTCATCTCAACCTATTCGATCATCTGAAAAGTGAAAGAAGCCCATGCGTTTCCAAGTCGACAGGCTGCGAGTGAACAATGCCTTTCCCACTGCACCTCCAGCCCCCGCCCGCCCTTGTGCTTCCACGTCATATACTTCTCACCCAGCAACAGACCCGGCCATCTCACTCATCGACATGCGCCCCTCCTCATAAAGCCGACCCGCACCGATCTGCTCCTCACCTCCCCACCACCTTTGCACCACACCACTCAACTTCGATAATCCTCATATCCTATCTTCTGCGAATCTTAACCCATA